CAATTAGTGGGGCAGGCAAGCGGGACATTCTTGGCTTGGCCAAGACGTTTGGTTATGCCACTATCAGCACAGACCAAGGTAATATATATATATATATATATTGTCTATTTTCTCTTTTCTAGTATTATAATTATATAAATGTTTAATTAATTGTTATCATTTGTTTAGGAGGACTTGCGTCGTGCTAAGCATAAAAAACAACCTATTATTGATGAGGATTTGACAGAATGTGATGATGATCCCATCTCTATGTTGTTGACCATATTACCACGGTTGAGGAAGAGACCGTGTCAGATAATATGGGATGTTAGAGTGTTTGGAATTGACAATTCCAGTGTTCCATTATACATTTCCTTGCCCGATGCTTTAGAAATTGCTGGGAGAAATTGCATGTTAAACATTTTCATCATACAATTGTGGGCAATGTAAGTCATTCTCATTTATGTTTCTAAGATTATAATAATTATATTCAACTTATAATTAATTGTTTTAGGTACATTGACAAGTTGAATCTGGAACAAGAAAAATCCGAAGTATACGGATTTATTGAGCCTCAATCCATCCAAAAATCCGGTAATACAAAGGTTGGAATCCAACAATATATGCAAACATGGATGAGTGACTCAAAAAGACATATATATTTGGCTCCATACATTGAAGGGTTAATATTTTAATTTATATTTTTGTAACTAATTTTTATGTCATACAATGTAGGTCCCATTGGCAGTTAATTGTAATCATACCCCGGGATTACACTGTCGTGTGGTTTTGTTCATTGCATCGGAAACCGAGTCAAGAAATGAAAATCTTATTACAAGGGTAACTTTATCTTTTATTCATTAATTATGTTTTTAAATTGTAAATACATATTGAATAATATATCACTTTTTTCACTTAGAATCGTGTTCTGGAACTAATGTTCTAAGTGGAAAACCTAGAACAAAGACTTTGCAGTTCATTTATCCTAAGGTTAGAAACTTATTTATATAAGTGAATACCATAATTATTGTTTGTATTTAAATTTTGAAAATAACATTATGTTTTTTTCATCATTTCAGTGTAATAAGCAAACAAACTCGTTTGAATGTGGTTACTATGTTATGTATTGGATGAGAGCCATAATTTGTGCGGGTATAATTGATTCTTGGACGGAGGTAATTGCTTTTAACATTAGTTAGGTTTATTTAACTTTATTCATGTTGCACATTTACAAGAGTCAAATTAATGTTTCAGGTATTTCAAGATCCATCTCCATTACCAGAATCTGATATTACACAAATTAGAGAACAATGGGCAAAATTTTTTGTTCAACAATTCTAGTACATAATTTTTTAAGCTCTTGTTCATATTATATTGTGTGTAATATGTAGTTTAGGTAGCTTAGTTTGTATTAACTTTTAGTTTGTAATAGATTTTTTAGTTTGTATGTTTGTATTATATTGTTTTATTATGTAGTTTGAATTATATAATATTATATTTTTAATTTACTAGCTAAAGAAAATTGAATCTCTGGACTGTCCTGATTATTTGCAGGTTTTAGTTGTAAAACAGAATCAACCCAATTTAAAAAAAGAAAACAGCAAATTTACGTCGCATATTGGTATATGCGACGTAAATTTACGTCGCATATGGTATATGCGACGTAAATTTGCTATTTTTTTTAATTTCTAAAAGTTTTTACGTCTGTTTAATGTTATATGCAACGCAAAATTACGTCGGGTCTTGATAGTTGACGTAAATTTACGTCGGGCTAAAGGGTCCGACGTAAATTTACGTCTCCCATTTTAACGTCAGTTTTAAATACGACGTAAAAAGTCCTAAATACCTGACGTAAAAGCCCCTTTTTGCACTAGTGAATCTGATGGATCGATTTGAGTTTGGTTAGACACGGTTGGATCAAGTAAATGAGTTGAGTCAGGTTAGATTGAGAATGATTTGGTTGATATTAGATATGACAATTACACCCGCATTTACAAGATCTGATCTATTCTCGCCATGAGTTTGACTGAAAAATCAAGTTAATAGGATGAGGGTGTGAATTTTCCTTACTTTCAAAAGTTGGAGGTGGGTGGATCATGACGTTACATAATATTATTTTATTTATAGTTTAACATTATTAGGATTTGTTACGTGATATTTTTTAAATTTTATTATTTTCATTTTTTATATAAAATTTTATCTTAATTAAATAATTATATTTTGAATGATTAAATAGAATTGATGATTAAAACTTTTAACTTTTAAAAACTATATATTTCATATTTATTAATATTTTAAAAATGATAACTTACAAAATAATTAACTTATATATACATATAATAATTTTTTTGAATACAATAATATTATTATTATTATTATTATTATATTAATAATAATATCATAAATATTTTATATTTATATAAAAAATATGAAATATTTTTTTTACATACATATTTAATATCAATATAAAAAAATTAAAATATATACTTAATTTATAATAATAATAATAATTAGAAATTATAAAAATTTATTTATATATAAAAAATATTAAAATTAATTTATTATCAATATAATTATTTTTTAGAAGTAATAAAAATTGGGACGAGTTAAGATAGAAAAACCCAAAATCCAACGAAAACAAGAATGGATATTTAATTCCTAACTTCAGTAGGATCGAGAGCCAGAATGAAAATGATTAAAAAAATCAAGGGTGAAAGTTGAACTCCATTATTATCCCTATTCGAGATATGTTGGGTATAGTTAGAACATGTTGGATCTAGTTAAAACAAGTTATATTTGATTAACTTAGTTAATGATTAATTATGTCAGGTCAGACTAGGCAAACTGAAATAGTCTAAACTATGCTTATCTTATTTAAGTAAACGATTTTAAAATAAGTCAAATTATATTAAGATGGGATGACCCACTTAAATAAACGATTTTAAAATAAGTCAAATTATATTAAGATTGGATGACCCATGTTAAAATGAGTCGAGATAGAATAAAAATATTTATATTAAAATTGAGTCAAACGAAAAAAAAGAAGATAAAAAAATATATATATTTGAGGAAAAAAAATAAAGGATTTTATTTTCTTATTTTTAGGTAAAATAAAATTTTTTCTCCTTCTATATAATCAAATTATTCTTAGACATTTATAATTTTTTTCAAATTTTTTATCTAAATAATAATTTTATCATAAACATTTTAAATTCTTATTAAAATAAATTATTTTCTACAAATTTCCTATCCAAACACTATCAAAATCAATTTTACAAAATCTATTAAAAAAATTAAAAACAAAAAAACGATTTTTTTCATAAAGTAAAATTTAATCATGTCAAAAATTAGAAAAAAAAATTATCCAAAGTTTGTTTAATTTTTAAAAAATTTATATATAAAATTTATTTATTATTTAATTCTTTCTCCTAAAATTATCTATGGAGAAACTTCTCTTGTCCAAAATATATCAAAATATAAGATTGTATATATTAGAGACAAACCGTAGCCACTACGTTGCAACTCAGTAACTGAGCTGGAACTTTGTCGGTGGCAACATATGTCGTTTCTTCTTTTTGCGTTTAAAACTTTCCCCATTTTTTTATGAGCTGGATAACAATTTCTACACATGGGAAACACCATTTTTTAAGCTTTACATTTTACAAGAACTACAATCAAGTTTTTTGTTTTAAAAGGTCATTTTCTTTAACTACACCCTTAATACACACCAAGTACAATTTTGTTATGTTTCTTCCCTCATTAAAAATGTTCATGGCTTGCTTCAACAGGAATAATAAGTAACTTATTATCCTTTTTTGCATATGAAACTTAGTTTTCATGAGAAGTGACAACCCAACCTAAAATCTCCAGAGATTTCCAGATCTCACCATTTAGTCTTATCTTATGTATTATTTTAATTATACGATGTTTTATTTTTGTTTAGGGTGAATTAATGAACACATCGTTTTAATAAATAAAATTGCACCAGTTAGAATCGTTACCAAACTTGCTTCATCATCAACCTCTATTTTAATCAAATTATCGTCTTCCACATTTGTTTTATCTCGTAAGAAACTTCAGATCTCACATTTTAATTAATGTGCCGCTGATTCCAGTAAAGTTTTTAATTTTAATTTTAAAAATTAAAAATAAATTATACATAATATAAACTCAGTTTGCTTATTTTTAAAATAAACATTTTTGAAACAAGTAAATTTTTAAAATATCACTTGTTTCAAAAATGAAAAAAAAAATCCGAATATTAGAAAATCGTTATTTTATTAAAAATAGACATTTTTTTAAAGTACGTATGAAGAAACTTATTCATATTCAATTAGATTTTACCATAAATGACAAATACTTTATTCTAATGCTAGGATGACGAAGAATCAGACAATTTTTTATCTGTTTCTCTTTTTCTATTTAATGAAAAAGAAATTTGACCTGTTGAAAAAAAATTCAAATGTTCCATAATTCATGTTTTCTTCAATCCAAAATTGATTTTTTTTCTCTTGTTTTCCTTTTCATTTTACCAAGTCCATTTGGTTGAATGGAAATAAAAATAATTAAAGATAAAAAGAAAAAAATAAATAAAAAGTCAATTTATAATTTTTTTATCTAATAAAATATAAGAAAAACATATATATTCAAAATTTTGTTCAATATTTTCTTTCCAACGAAGGAACATAAAAGTAGTGTTTACCATTCCTACAGATCTGGTTTGAAGAACCATTGACGAGTTAATAAGTCACTTCCTAATTTTCCCTCCAATCAACAATCCTATAAAACAGAATTCCGATCCTGCCCTCGCTTTGAGCGGATGCAGTGACGTGGCGACATCACTGAGGAGAATCAAGTAATTACCGTACCCATGAGTAACCGGAGAGAAAGCTTCACCTCCTTCTTCACCCCCTTATTATATCACTCTCTCTGCTCTCAACAAACATAACAATACGAATTCGAAAGACCTCACACAGATCTATCGTCCTCTCTTTCTCTCTGTCGTTTCGATCTCGAACGCCATGGCGTTTTGGAGGTCCCTCGCGTTTTCTGCTATCTTTCTTCCGCTCTTCATCCATGGCGCGCTCTGCTTCTACCTCCCCGGCGTCGCTCCACAGGACTTCCAGAAGGTTCGCTGCATCTCATCTCCATTTCCATTTCCATTCTCATTTCCATTTCCATTTCCATTTCACGCACCGTTATTATTTCTTGAAATTTATTGTTTATTCGTTTCTTAACCGCTCGATCTGCGTTTGAATCTGAGATCTGAGATGAAAATGACCGATGTATATTTGTTTTACATTGTTTCTTATTTTTATTTTTCAATTAGGCTGTGATATGTGGTTATTGTTTGCATTTTATAAGTTATAGTTTGACGACATTGCGGTATTATTGTTTCAGCGCCTTTTGTGTGTGAAAGTGTTGTTGTTGATATTGTGTTTGTTAATTTGACGTCGATCCGGTGTCGGTGGAAAGGTTTAGCTGCTTCGGTGAGGTGAATGTGATATATTTGGATGATTTGATACGTTCTAGTTACTTGGTAATGACTTTGTTGCGGAAATATACGTAGTTGGTTGAGAGGGAAATGAAGCTCAACTTGTAATGTAAGAAGCACGGAGACTTCTCAATGCTAGTTGTGTTGGATACGTGCTAATGTTAATTGTTAGATACTCAATGGGCACTTCAAATACTCTTAATTCCGTTTTTGTATTTTTTTTTTTTAAATTTGAATACTGCAATAATTAGATGAGTTTTAGCATTCTATTACATTATGTCTATAGTGATTTTTACTCGTTTTTTAAAACATGAATTATTAATTGTGTTTTAAAATTTTAATTTTAAGATTAAATTTACGCAACGTATTATAACAGTGCTGTGTCTTATGGTTTTTAGAATTTGTCTTAGCTCTAGTTCGTGCCCAATTTTGTTTTTCAATTTTCTTATGTCGTATCCATGTTCACGGACTTGTAATTAGAAGTAGCCTGTTTGAAGTGGAGGCGTGGGGTGTGTGAAGATTTTGGATATTAGGTCTGGCACTAGTGTGCTTATTGTTTGCTATGTTGTTGCAGAGGTGAGTTGTACTATCTTCACTCACTACATTCATATGTTTTATCGTTACAATTAAAGAAGTAAGGGATCAAGTGGGACTTGGAGAAGTGCTTAATATTGATATATATGGATGATTAAAATGGTTTTATTTGAAACTAATTTTGACTAATATAGTAAGATAACTTCTCACATTTTCACCCGACACACACAGACATACACACTGTGATACTTGTTTTGTGTTGTTTTGATGAGGAGAATAAAATCAAATTTTGTCTGTTCTAAGTATTATTTCACAAATTCATGAAAAATTATTCCACTTATAGCCCAGCTCAGCTTATGGCTCTGCATCTTGTCCAAGACTCATTGGTTAGGTAGCTGAGTCTTGGGAATCTAAACGTGACTTTTCGTTCCTTAGTTGATGAATATTTAGATTTCTTATGCCTAAACTCTACAACCACCTGTGGCCCAAGTTAGCAGCTGAATATTTAGATTTTCTTATGCCTAAACTCTACAAACACTTGTGGCCCACCTAAACTTAATTATTCTTCTTTGCGTGGTTTTTTCTTGCCCCATAATTTCTTTTAACATATTAACCATTAACCACCTATCAGATGCATTGGGTGCTAACAATTAATATTTAATTAAACTTTTGGCCTTCTTCATTTTTCTTGTTCGTATTGTTTTCTAACCTTGTGTTCTTGTTGTCAGTCTTGTCTTTTAAATTAATAATAATGTAGGTCCAGAATACGTGCATTGATCTATTTTTTTTTATTTGATTATTCTATTTATATGGTGCAGGGAGATCCATTGCAAGTAAAAGTGAACAAATTAACTTCAACGAAGACCCAGCTTCCATATACATATTATTCCCTTCCTTTTTGTCCACCAGAGAAAATAGTGGATAGTGCTGAAAATCTTGGAGAAGTGCTCCGTGGTGATCGCATTGAAAATTCTCGATATGTGGTATGTTTTATGACATTTTTAATTTTTGCGTGGTTAATGTTATTTTATCAACTTATTTACTGAGTGACATATTTGCAGTTTAAAATGCGTGAACCACAAATGTGCAATATTGTGTGTAAGCTTAAACTTGATGCCAAAACTGCAAAAGAGTTCAAAGAGAAGATTGATGATGAGTATCGAGTGAATATGTATGGCATTCAGTAATTTTCGTATACTGTCATACCATTTCTCTACCACAATCTTGAGATCTGGTAACTTACGATGGATCTGCTTTTTACTTTCAGGATCCTAGATAACCTTCCTCTGGTTGTTCCTATAAAACGGGTGGAACCGGACTCTACTGTTTATCAACTTGGTTTTCATGTTGGACTCAAAGGGCAGTACACTGGGGTATGCTTATCTTTTAGGACAATGTTTATTGTTGTGAATGCCACTTGTTTTCTTGTGCTTACTTTGTTGAAATACACAGAGCAAGGAGGAGAAGTATTTTATTCACAACCATTTGGCTTTTACGGTCAAGTATCATAGAGATACACTAACTGAATCTGCTAGAATTGTGGGCTTTGAGGTTAAGCCATTCAGGTCAGTATTTTTGTGCTTGCCTTGTTTGAATCAAGTTATTCCATTTAGAGCATTTCCAATGGGAGTTGCTACCAAGAGTTGTTTAGGAATAAAAATGAATATTTTAATGTGCATTTCATATCTGAGTTGCTTAAAAGTGGAAAAAATTGCTTAAAATTGGAAGAAAATTGTTTGGATAAATAACTCTGATCATATTTTAAGCAACTTAACTGTAGGACTCATAATAAAATATTCAATTTTATTCTTAAGCAATTCTAGTTAAAAACTCCTATTGGAGATGTCCTTAACAGTTGTGTTGTGGGATTTATGCAATAGTGATTTTCCAAATATGAATGTTGCTGTGCAGTGTCAAACATGAATTTGAAGGGAATTGGGATGAGAAGGCCACCCGTTTGACAACCTGTGACCCTCATGCTAAACACACAGTTGTCAATTCCAACACTCCTCAAGAGGTCGAAGAGAACAAGGAAATTATCTTCACTTATGATGTTGAATTCCAGGTGAGGTTATTTTGATTACGTAGTACATGTATACTTTCTTAGGTACTCATCATCTGTGGGTATTGGTGCACATAACCCAAGTAGTTCAAAATATGGTTTCAATAGAGTTCTTTCATAAATTATGTGTAGATAAAATTCATCGTGTTGATGGGAAGTTTGTCTAGTTTAATATAGTTACTTTTTATTTTTACTTCTCGTAACTTAATTTCTTTATGTTTTATTCTCGTCTTCCTCCCAGTATTCTCATCTTTTGTTATCTTCGTTGACCTGCTTTTACCTTTTGCTGCATTTAGGAGAGTGATGTGAAGTGGGCTTCAAGATGGGATGCCTATTTGCTGATGAGTGATGACCAAATTCATTGGTTCTCAATTGTGAATTCATTGATGATTGTTCTGTTTCTCTCGGGTATGGTAGCAATGATAATGCTGCGTACACTTTACCGTGATATTTCGAAGTACAATGAATTAGAAACCCAAGAAGAAGCACAGGAAGAGACTGGTTGGAAGCTTGTCCATGGTGATGTTTTTAGGCCACCAAATAACCCAGATTTGCTGTGTGTTTATGTTGGAACTGGTGTTCAGTTTTTTGGAATGATACTAGTAACAATGATGTTTGCTGTCCTGGGGTTCCTTTCTCCTTCAAACCGAGGTGGGCTAATGACAGCCATGCTCTTGCTTTGGGTTTTCATGGGGATTTTTGCTGGTTATGCCTCAGCCCGCTTATATAAAATGTTCAAAGGAGCAGAGTGGAAGAAAATTGCCCTCAAAACTGCTATCATGTTCCCTGCAATCGTTTCTGGCATTTTCTTTGTATTAAATGCTCTCATATGGGGACAAAAATCGTCTGGAGCTGTGCCATTTGGAACTATGTTTGCCCTGATCTTTTTATGGTTTGGGATCTCGGTTCCGCTTGTTTTTGTTGGTGCCTACGTTGGTTTTAAGAAGCCTGCAATTGAGAATCCTGTGAAGACAAACAAAATCCCCAGGCAGATCCCTGAGCAGGCATGGTACATGAATCCAATCTTCTCAATTCTGATAGGAGGAATACTTCCATTTGGAGCTGTTTTCATTGAACTTTTCTTTATTCTCACGTCTATCTGGTTGAATCAGTTTTACTACATCTTCGGCTTCCTCTTCTTGGTGTTCGTCATCCTCATTGTGACTTGTGCTGAAATAACCATTGTGCTTTGCTACTTTCAGTTGTGCAGTGAGGATTACTTGTGGTGGTGGCGGTCTTACCTCACATCTGGCTCTTCTGCTCTGTACCTCTTTCTTTATGCAACATTCTATTTCTTCACTAAGCTTGAAATCACTAAATTGGTATCAGGATTACTATACTTCGGTTACATGCTTATAGCGTCCTATGCATTTTTTGTTGTAACTGGATCCATCGGATTTTACGCATGCTTTTGGTTCACAAGGCTCATCTATTCCTCGGTCAAGATTGATTAGTAATAGCAATCAATGGGGTTGGATTAACCTAAAGGACGAAGAACGTTTGTGTAAGGATTTTCAAATTCAGGCACTGCTGTCACGTTCAGAATCAGATGTAACCTATTCTATACAATTTTGAATTGTGGCAACACCGTTATTCTTTTGTTTCAAAATCTTTTACTTGCCTGAGTTGTCGAAGTGTAGATTTTAAGGTGTACGCTGCAGTCTAACTTGGCTGTTTTCTGTGTTACTTTCGGAGGATTGCAGGTTGGCTCCTTGTTAGATGATTTTTTATTATTAGGCCGTGTAATAAAAATGATATCCCAAGAACGTAGTTTGCAGTCATCTGCTGATTTGAATCTTTTATCTCGTTATATGCAACCCTATGTCTTTTATTTATATTTCATTTATTCTTTTGCAGAGGTGCATGTATGAATTGGAATTTTCACATATGATAAATGATTCAAGGTGTTGGCCAAATTTCTTTAGCTGTGATTCCTTGTGATGATCGCTGTTTTAAGATTGTTTGTTCTAATCGGAAATTTCCAACGCAATAGGTGTATTGGTCACTGCTACCATTCTATTTTTGGTATTAGCACGAGCATGAGGTCATGTCTGGTGATAATACCTCATGTTATATGTGTTTAAGGTTTTATCTTTCATACTTGCCTCTGCAAGCCGTATAATTTACGAATTTCTAAGTAACAATTCTGAGTTTCACAGAAGTGTCACGGAAGTTGCTTAGCTTGCGCGCTAAGAGCATCAAAGGAAAAAAAAAAAAGAAGAAAGTAACAGTATATCAAGTTCCGAACAACTTTTCGGTGTCAAAGTAGTTGCTTAATCTAACTGAAAGATATGCTTGCTTAGGCAGCAAATAAAGAACAAAGCAAGGTAATAAAGCCGACCGTCATCTTTAATTAATTCATAGGAAATATAAAGGATTAAAAATGGAATTAACCTAACGATTTTCCATATCTTTTCATTTTTAAGCTTCTATAGTTTTCATTTTTAAGTTTCTATGTTATATTTTATAACTTTACTTTGTATTTAAATTCATTATTAAAAATTGTATTTAATATCATTTTAAGTTAGTCAAAATTTAATAAAATAATATTTTTATAATATAAAAATATATAATAAATTTATTAATAACAATATTTTATATAAAAAATATTTTTTTATTTTTTAAAATTATAAATATAAAGTATATTAAAAAAATAAAAGATAAATAATTATTAAAATAATTGAAAAATATAATAGAATAATTATTATTTAAAATTAAAAATTAAAAATATAAAACATATTAAAAAGTAAAAAATAATTATTATTAAAATAAGAGAAAATATAATAAAATAATTATTGATTTAATAGAAAATAAAAAATAAAAAATATTGTATCTTTTATATTAATATAAGGTTTTATCCCAATCAGAGTTTAAATTTGTAGTCAGGTTGAACCGGCCCATAAAAAGCTAAAATTTAGAACTTGTTTATCGAATTTGTAGTCATGGCAATGGAACTGATAATCTCAAACAAGCAATAGTTAGGACAAAATGAAACAAACATCACGAATTCAATCTTATATTAGAAATTTTATTTTTCATAAAATAGAATAAAAGGGTATATACTAAACAGTAAAATTTAAGATGGAAACAACCACAAAAAAAATTCTCTCTTCCAGCTGTAAGAAATTAATTTCTAACATATGTATTATAGAACAAGCATTTCTGTTCATTTTGCATTGCAAAATTGCAGGAGAAGGTGATATGTCTCTCCCCTTACAATTAAAGGCACACACAAAAATAAAAAACACATATAAGATGGAAATAAAACAAAGAGTAGTCATTTACTTCATATTCATAGTTTGATAAAAGTATATGTTAACTACTTCTTAGGGTGAGTGTCCTCAGGTTCTGCAACTCCAGCAGAAACCTTGGCCACATCCTTAGCACTAGCCTCGGGCTTCTTCTTCGCATATAAGACAGTGTATCCCACTGCAGCTGTAATTAGCAAACCCGCAATAGCCATTGTGGGGTAGCTGAAAGGAAGTGATTTTCTCTGATGAAGTACTTCAGTAGCACCATGACCTGGGGGTCTCTTTGAGGCCTCTCCTTGTGCTTTTTGTGGATCCATTTCTCTTCCACTTTCTCAATTTTCCTCCACCAATGCCTCTTTAATATATATGGGAAATATGATTATGAAGTTCTTACTATTATCACCTCGTCAGAACTGTGCCTCAAATGAACCATGAAGTGTTCTTAAGCCACCTAACACCCCAACTTTCATGTCTTCCCAACACGTGGCCACTACGTGTCATTGAAGTGGCCACGTGTATCAGCAAATTCAACATACCACATTTCAATTGGAAAATTATTGTTTATAAGCATAATGCTAACATTGAAATTAATTTTCAATCATCTTGGAATGTTGGTAAGTGTTGTCTTGTGCTTGACATGAACCTGCTGGAAATCAAATGTTTTATTTATGTAATTTTGTTCCTTAGAGATTAATTAAATTTTTATGTTATGTGCACTCTTATATAATATTAAGATTTTCATTCAAAATGGCAGTTACATTGAGTATGCTCTAATTCTACAGATTAATTAACAAATTTTAATAACCTAAGCTAACGTATGTTTTAAAATTAATCATAATTTATTATATTTTATATTTAGTTTTAATATAACTAATTTTTTATCAAATTATTTAAAAATAATTATTATTTTATAAAATCAAATTCTCATACCCATTTAAACTATTACTGAACATGATATAATCAATAACAAATCTTGACCATTGATTTTGGAGGGGCAAATAATATATTATTAATAAATAATAAATAAATATAAAATGAAGTAAGAATATAAAAGGGTGAAAGGATAAAATTGTAAATATATACTTAAATATATTAAATGACCATTAAGTTTAAAGATGACAAAATCATAAATTATATGAGTTACAAAATTAAGAAGGGTTGGAAGGATAAAATTGTAAATATATAAGTAAATATATTAAATATTCGTTAAATTTAGAGACTTAAAATCATAAATTACATCAGCTTGGGTCACGAACCTCCTCAACTCCGAGGAAGATCCGCAAGATATAATGCCTTTGATTTTTAGAAACCGTCCATATATTCATTAAGAGTGAAAGATATAGAGGTGAAAACATTTTTTATTAATTAAATTTTATTAAAAATAATAACATCATGTAATAAGATTAAGAATCGATTACTTAAGGAAGAAAGGTAGATCACTTATAAGAATATTTTATTAATAAAACTATTTTAATATGGATTTACAATCATAAATTCCTTAATTTATATTTTTTTTGTAAAACCTCATGTAATTATGAATCCAAACGTTTGAAAATTTTGATTTTCTGTATTCAATATGAGAAGAAGAGTGTTTCAAATTCCCTATCTGACACAGTGTCCGTTTCTGCAATTTTACCTCTCTAATAATACCATATACAGCACACAGACAGTGTGCAAATAGCTTCAAAAATTCCAATTAATTTTGCCATTATAAGCGTTTTTGACCGTTACTGTTCAGAGACCAGCCAAACACGTCATAACAAAACAAAACTTAGTGGACCCCACGTCATGTCCCACTCCCTCTACTGCACACTCCTCTTCCCAATGTCACTACACGGCTACTTTCTACTCACCGCAACGCAACCTTAAATACGATACACTCCAAGGTTTTTTCTGCTTCACTTCTTCAACTCCCTTATTCCTTCCAGGTTCATCATCTTTCTTATTATTCTCTTCCTTTCTTTCTCTCTAACTGTGAGACACAAAGGAATAGTAGTAAGACAATAATGGCTGTTTTTTCTGCAATATCTTTTTCTCTTTTGGTCATCTTCCTTCTCTTTGGCTTCTCTGTAGCCAAGGAAATATTGGTTGGAGGTAAGACTGATGCTTGGAGGATTCCAACCTCTGAATCAGACTCACTCAACCAATGGGCAGAAAAATCTCGTTTCCAAGTTGGCGACTTTCTTGGTAAGTATTTCTTAGCTTTATTTCCTTTTTTTATTTTTATTTTTTTCCTTTTCACCATCTTGAAGCTATTTTCACCTTGATATGCTTTTAGAACTTAACTTATAATAGTTAACATTTGCTATTGATACATGGGGTTTTCATGTATCTCAGTTTTTCAATAAAATTGATCATAGTATTTGTTATTTTTAAATAATGATTTTCTGTGCCCAGTTTGGAAATATGATGGTGGGAAAGACTCAGTTTTGCAAGTGAGCAAAGAGGATTATGCCAACTGCAGCATCTCAAACCCCATAAAGGATTACAGTGATGGGACCACCAAGGTGAAGCTTGACCATCCTGGGCCATTCTACTTCATCAGTGGGGCAAAGGGTCACTGTGAGAAGGGTCAGAAACTGGTTGTAGTGGTTTTGACTCCAAGGGGAAGGTCCAGTGCCATTGTTTATTCACCAGCACCTGCTCCTGCACCATCTTCATCTTCAGAGTTTGAAGGTCCTGCCGTTGCTCCCACTAGCAGTGCCACTGCTTTGCATGGGGGCTTTGTGATTGTGGCCCTCGGAGTGGTTGCAGTGTGGGGGTTTTCTATGTGAAAATCGGTTGATTTCTTTCTTTTTGGATGTTGAGTTGGGGTTCTTATGTTTAGTGTGTGATGAGACTGTCACAGTGAGGTGATTGTCAAGTGTTGTTATTTTTTTGTAGAAAATATATGATTAATTTTTTAATATATGTTCTGCTACTTTAGTTTACAATTTCCAGGTTTTCTGCAAAATTCATCTTTAGTATTAAAAAATTCTTTCACATTAAAAAATGATGTGATGGCGAACGGGAAGAACACTATAAAAACAGAAAAAATGACTCCAAAAATTGAAAATCAAACAAACGTGTGCGTCTTTCTTTTTCCCAAGATGGAAGAAACCGTTTCTCAAAACTATTAAAAAAGTTATTGTAAAATTATTAAAATACCGAAACTTGCGCTCTCTTTAATGGAAATTAAAAAGCTTTATTCAGTTTGAAATTTATCGAAATATATTAAAATATTTTATCTACAATATATGACATATAACAATAAATAATAAAACTAAGGACTAATTTCTTTAGCGGAAAAACAGTTTCCGTTAATGGTGCCTAATATTGAATTTGGTCGTTATACATATAGCATGCTTTGCTTTGCAGCGGAGCTGTCAGTAGTGATCGGCTTATCAGTTTTAGTTTAATATGATCATTTGGTTATAATTTTTAGGTTAATATCATAGGTCGGATTAATTGTAATTTAATTGAAAATTAAATATATATATATATATATATATTAAAATAATTAATTAAAAAAATATTTAAATAAAAATAAAATATATTTTTAAAATTTAAATTATATTAATAAAATTAATTTTTCTTTAAGATTTAATAAGAATTAAAAATTAATTTAATATTAAAATAAGAATTAAAAATTTAATAAGTAATATATACATTAATAAAATAATATTTTTTTTAATTAAAAAATAATTATTTTATAAAATAGATAAGTACACAAATAATATACATCAAAATAGGTCTTAGATAATAATTTTCTTATCTAACTTAATATATTTTTCAGATTTTATTTTAACAATTTTTTTTTCAACTTAGAATTTAGTTCCATGAAGTCGAATTTTGATCTTCAATATATGTGAATTTGATCACATTATCCGCTGAAATTAGGAATCAAATTCTTTACTGTTTTTTTTTTTTCAGTTTTAATAAAACAAGGAAGAAAAAAGTAAATACAAAAATGATATAAGATAAATTATAGGAACAATAATTTATTTAATAATAATTTTGGAGTAAAAAAAGAAAACTATAAATAAATAATAAAATTATATACTGAAAATTATTTAAAATGTTTAATATAAAAATACAATTGAGAAATATAATATAATTTTATTGATTAATAAAAAAATATTTTAAAATAAGGAAGTAGTGGAAAATTAGTAAAATAAAAATAAAGAAAAGGATGATTTAAGAAAAATTATTTGAATAAAATTTGTTAAATTTTAAATTATAATAGTTTATTGTATTAAATTAATTAAATGTAAACAACAATTTTTTTGTATTTAATTATTTGCATGAAAAGGACTTTTTTATTTAATTTTTTATATTTAATTATATATATATATATATTAATAATGTAGTTATAAATGAAATACACATAATTTAATAAACATTAATTAAAATGAAATTAAATAGATATATGATTTAAAAAAAAAATTGATTTTCTTGTTTGTTTTTGAAATAAAAAACGAATTTCTCAATAATTGACGGTAGTAGATCGTTTATTTGGATGAATAGTTTAATGGTGTCCTATAAGTGTTTACTTTACATGGTTGGATGTAGAAGTTTAACTTTTTTCTAATGCTTGATTATTTGTGCAACATCAGTATTAGATTTGATTTGAACTGAATTGTGCACAATATAGTTGCTAATCACTCCAACTAGATGACGATAGTTGATTTTTGTGACTTGTTTGCGGTTTAGACACTATATAAAGTGAGTTATGTTTTGTAACAATTGATGAAATGATCAGTTGCATTGGATTGATATTTTTCTTGGATTGTCACATATATAGGTAAGACCGAAATTGATTATTGAGTTTTCCATTATGGGGTCTTTGGATAGGTCTCCGAAGTAAACTATTGTTTGTGTGAAAATGATGAAGTTTAGGTTTATGGAAGATGTTGTACTAGATAGGTTTAGAAGATTCAGTATTTGTATTACCAAGAAATTGAGACTTATAATTTATTATTTCATACACACCAAAATCTATTGATATCTGAGCTGTATGATATGTAATCACATCATTCTTATTCATTTTTAGTTGTCGAAAGTACAATGTATTATTTGAAAGTTCTAAAGTTGTGTAGATTTTCTCATTCAAAACAATGAAGGTGTACTTGTATTGTATCTGAAATAGTTTTAGAGTTGCGCATTGAAACTACACACCTTCTTCACATTGATTGATTTCACCATTTGCAAGTAAAACGACGAGATAGAAATTAGAATAGTTTTTCGTTTCAGTAATGCCAAAGTGTTCCATTTGAGGATGATGAAGTAGAATGTTTGATGTTTAGAGAGGGGGGTTCAATTGAGTTTGTAAGGAGATGAATTCTTGTAAAGGGATTAAGTATGGTGTATGATGTATTTTATAGGGTTAAAGTGTGTTAGGTGTTATTTGAGGTTGACAAGCGTATGTGCAGGGTAAATGTTAATGTGGATGTCAAGGTCCCATGTGACTTCTGTGTAGCACGAGTTCCAAATGAAGTTGATAACTCTTGTCTGTGAGGTAGAATGCATGTTGAAATGTTGAGACGTGTCTTTAGTCACCCCATTCAATCAATGCATGTCACGATAATGTCTCACTCAAGGTGACTTATGTATAGCACATGTTCTCAATAAAGTTGACAAGTCTTGTTTGTGTGGGACAAAGTGCATGTTGAATTGTTTACACATGTTGTGAGCCACCTCATTCACTCAGAGTGTTAGGATAATGTCTCATTTAAGGTAACCTCTGTGTGTGACAAAGATTCTCAAGAAGTTGACAAGTCTTATTTGTGTGGTAGAGTGCATGTTGAATGAATTGTTGACATGTGTCTTAAGTCACCCCAATGTCTGTCAAGGCAATGTCTCATTCAAGGTGACTTCTCTGTAGCAAGCATTCTTAACAAAGTTAACAAGTCTTATTTGTGTGGCAGAATGCATGTGAAATTATTGACACGTGCCTGAGCCACCCTATTCACTCAATGCATATTAGGGTAATGTCTCACTCAAGGTAAGCTTTGTGTAGCACATGCTCACAATAAAGACAAGTCATGTTTATGTGAAATAGTGCATGTTGAATAAGTGACATGTGTCATAAGCTACCCATTCACTCAATGCATGTGAGGATAATGTCTCATTTAAGGTGACCTCTGTATGTAACACACGTTCTCAATAAAGTTGGCAAGTCTTATTTGTGTGGCAGCGTGCATATTGAATTGTTGATACGCGTCTTGAGCCACCTTGCTCACTCAATGCATGCCAGGGTAAAGTCTCATTAAAGGTGATATCTATGTAGCACGCGTTCCCAATAAAGTTGACAAATCTTGTCTGTGTGACAAAGTACATGCGAAATTGTTGACATGTGTTCTAAACCACTACATTCACTCAATTCATGTCAGGATAACATCTCATTCAAGGTGACATTTGTTCCCAATAAAGAGAACAAGGAATCTATCAATCTCTTTTATGGTTATGACCATATATGCAAGATACAACAAATTCTTCATTGAAATAGGGAGACAAATCACAACAATGATTAATGTTGGTCATGTTTATTCAGAAGTTACATCAATGGTATTGTAAAATGTTTATACAAAATCAAACACTCATAAGGTACTTAATTCGACAAATGCAATACAAGATTTTTGGTGAAGGAGATTGTCAGCCCTATATAAGTTCAACCTATTGAAAGTTTGTTGTTAGATTAGATGAAGGTTGACATGTTTGCACGTTGCAACTTGCAAGCGCATGAGAACATAGTAGATAGAGTTTTTTGAACAAAGTAAAAAGTTTCAAGGGGTCATCCAACGTCATAACGAATTAGGATTGAAATGAGTATATGTAAAGAAGGTCAGTTAAGGAAATACTCTTATTATCACGCTTCAGGACACATAAGAAATAATTGACTACACAATCGTGACCTCAAGGGATCAACTTCCCATAATTAATTATGTTATAGTTTTGTAATATGCTATTACAATTAATAAATAAATAACTATTATATTTATTTTTAGTTTTCTAACTTATTTGTTTCTGCATGTCTCATTAATTTAATACAAAAAATATTTACTCACTTTTAATTCAAATTATCTAATTTTTATTTATATATTATTTTAACAAAATATTTATATCAATTATATTTTATATTAAATAAAATAATTTTAATACAAATATTATATATATTTATTATATCTATAAAAATATATTAAATATATAAATATATTTTTATTATATATAAAATATATAAATATGTATTTATTAAATATAAAAATATATAAAAATATGTATAACATTAAAAATATAACATATTTAATAAATATATTTATATATTCAGCCGTGAAAAAAAAATTCTGTTTAGAATTCGATTATCTGATAATTGAATTCTGGATGATATTCTGGCCAAATAAACCGTGCTATTTGTTAGGCCTGAAAAAGAATAAGATAAAACTAAAGACTAATATCTGTAGTGATTAAAAATTTAATTAAATAATTAATAATATATAAAAATAAAATAAAATAAATTATATTAAATATAAATATTTATTATAACAAAATATATTTAAAATTTGGAAATTTTTCTTAAAAAATGTTTATATTTTCCAATCTTTATTATTGTTCCTATTTAATGATATGAAATGTGAAAAATCAATCACAGCACCATGGGCGAATGGATAGTGGATATGAAACCAATAACATATTTCAAATAATAAAATCTACATTAGTTAAAATTTCAAATAATAAAAGCTATATTAATTATAAAGCTAGGATTTGAAAATAGGCTAAATATACCTAAATTAATCAA